GTGATAAACAACTGGAAGTCTGTGAGTTGGAGAGACAGACACACAAGAAGCCTAACATGTGTTTCTAGACCATACAGATGAGTGAGAGAACAGAGCTGAGTTTGTGGACTGAATACTGCAGAATCTCGTTTGTGACAGCTACTCGGCTGAGAAATAGCTACAGACTTGGGTTGACTCATTGATTTCATTAAAAAGTTTTTGGTAGCTAGATGTGTGGATAAATCGTTCTTCAGTGACTTTACCCTCGAGATGCAGGCATCATGTCCATCGATGCCCTATGTGTATATACTGTTTGCTCTACAGGACTGGCTCATATCACAATTCACATGACCTCTGTGCTCTCATTCGAATGTAAGTGACGTCTGTGCTCCTGGTTACATGTGTGTCCAACACATCAGATCTTTTGCTTTACACACATGATATTATTTGTGATTATTTCGTGAACAAGTGTGACTAATGTTTTCAATTGAGTGGTTTTTGATCTGATCATCAGCTTTGAGTCTCTAACCGTGTGTTTTTATCTTAATGTGCATCTACTCAGGGGGAGAAATAAATACTCACTTCGTGCGTTGTGTTTGGTTCAGTTTATTTGTGCACTCTGATACTCTTGGATTTATCAATGTGTTTTGTTTCGGGTTTCTCATATTCTCGACTTTATAGGAGACTAACTGATAGATTGATATAGAGTGTTGTCCTGCATTTTGAGCTTTGTTGGAACAGGTTGATTAGGTTGTCACATTCAGATAAAAAGGGGGAGAATGTAAGCTCAAGGTTTGTGAGCTTGTTCCGGTTAAGATGAGAGTGTGTTACACAGTGCGATGATTGTGTAACACAGTGCAATAAGTTTGGTACGTATAATGACGTGGCGTAAACTTATGGAAATAGAAGATATTGCTTGGGTGCGAAGCAAAGAAGATCTTCTGGTTGGCGATATTTTAGGAAATAGAATATTGTCTTTTTCATGTCTACTTAACGAGGCAACCTAAGAGAGTTTTAGGTTAGGCGTTAAGAGAGAAAAAGCTAGAGCAAGAGAGTTGTTCTTGTCGGCTACAGAGATCGAGAAAACAGGGGTTTGGCTTGGGTTTCTGTAACTTAGAGATTAGGAACTGGTCCGTCGCTAGTCGTGTGTGACTGAGCTTAAATCGGATTAAACAGATCTAGAAAGATTGTTTAAAAGGTTTCTAATATACAAGAAGTGTTCTTGAATAACTTGTGTACGGTTCTTATTTGCGTGTCTCTGAACTTTCAGTCAGCAGTTATGTTAATTAGTTCCAATTTATGTAACAGAACTTAAAATTCCAAAAAAGGCTGAGAAAGAGCCATCATGTCACATCACATGATGATACGGAGAGGTGAGCTTTTGTGTTCTCGATCTTTAAATCATCACGAAGACGCTTGTAGAGCGTTATGGTGACATCCTTGAAGCCTTGATTTGAATGATTGTTGATCTTAGTGCATCTGCTTGAACCTCAAGTGGACTAACTCGCCATTGGGTTCACCCGATAATCTTTTGATAATATGTCTACGTTCCTTATCATGCAGTATACAGGAGTCTGTCCTGTTATTTTGTTTAGATGGAGCTTGGGCTGGATGGTATGTGTAACTCTATTACTTTCTTTGCAATTATATTTTACTTGAAGGAAACAAACAAAAGAAGTGAAGCTTCAACAAATAGAATCTATAGGGGATATCCATCGAAACGAGAAGAATAACTAATAAGTTTAAATCATGAAAGGACAGCTACTAATAAGAAATACAAATAATTAAATATATTCTTAATTATTAAATTATGTAATACATAATAGTTGTAAAGCACACGGACTCTTTAACTAAATATATATAATTTAACTTTCAAGTGTTATTTTTTAAAACTAACTTCTCAAGTGTTGCGCCCATGTGATATGCAAATTTCATCTCTATAAATAGACCAAATGGTCTAAGCTGGTTACATGCGTCAACACATAAACACACTCACCTTCGACTATATATTATAAATTAAAATTTTATTTTTCTAATTCTCGTCTAGGATAAATTATCAATGGCGAGAATTAATGTTTACCTTTTTGCATTTATCTTGCTTTTGACTATCAAACAAGAGTTTAGTTACGTTGAAGGCCGAACACTCGCGAAGTCAACCGTTGCGAAGGTTGAGGAAATCGGCGCTGATGGCTCTGTGCCGCTATTACCATCGGCTGAGCCACTCCAGCCATCACCGAGCCACGGGGTTGGTACCTTCAGGCCCACTGTACCTGGAAATAGCCCTGGTATTGGACATTCCGTACACAATTAACGGAGAGGGACAATACCATGGTTTATGTGATTATAAATCAGTGTTATTTAAAATAATATTTGATCACTTATTGAACATAATTAAGATTGTGCTGATGTTGTTATTGTTGTTGGTTTTTTCTGAATATGGAATTTGCATCATCTATGTATATCTATGTACTGTTTCTTCGTATTCAGTTTTCTTGAAAGTGTGATTTTGTTATTGTAATAATATCTTTTCTATAAAGAAAATATAGTTAAAACCAAAACAATGTTTTTAATATACCCCCATTTATCTTGTATATTTTCAACTTTAAACCTAAGTTATTAATCGAGACATTTTCTATTAGTTATTGCAATCATGACTGAACCAAACCGTAACTAAACATAACTTAACCGCTGCAAGGATCTGCTAACGCAAGTGGTGATGTCACCTTTTATTAGATTCATGTTTATTACGAATTTTAAATTTAAAATCAACTAGTGATAAATAAATTGACAATAACACTTTTTTTTTTTAAAGCTCATTAAATTTCCGATATAGGATATATACCTTTGTAAGATCTTTTAGCACAAGAGTTCGATTTCATCTCTTCTTGAATATGTTGATCAGAAAACTAAAAATATATTAATCTCTTATTAACTATATACATAGAATTATATTTAAGGTATATTTGATGTTTGGCTTTGTAAAACTAATATATATATTAATCTCATATTCATATTTAATGTATATATATTTGTATATGCTTCGCTTAGGCATCCGCCTATACAGCATGGTGCTTGAAGTTTATACAGTAGAACCTCTATAAATTAATAAATTTCACCGGTCCCAATTTGGGTCGATTCAAAATTTAACACAAATCGATAAAATAATAAGCTAATATTTTATAGAAAATTCCATGTAAATATATATATAGTCCCATTAAAATTATAAATTAATAATTTCTATATATACATATTTTATATAAGTAAGAACATATCATTATATTGTTCATTTTATATTCACAATGGAATTATCTTTATATTTTCTTAACACATAATATATTTTTGATGAGATTTAGTACTATATATCTAAAATCACATTTAAATTTTATGCAATATATATCACATACCAAATAATATAATAAAATTAATATAAATGCAAAATCTTAAAAATAATGATTAATGTCTATATATTAAAATCAAATATTTTATTATCTCAAAATAAATATATCTTAAAATAAATAAAAATTTAAATAAGCAAAATTTTGTAAATTAATATATCTATAAATTAATAAAATTTCAAATTCTCAACATTATTAATTTATAGAAGTTTTATTGTATGCCACACAATAAGCGCATGGTGTGTTTTATAATAACATCAGCATTAAATGGTGTAACTAAGAGAATGAAGAAGAACACAACATTCCTTAACAAAAAATACCGTTCATGAAAAATAGTTTTTTTTTCTCATTCTTTTTTTGGTAGAGAGTTTTAGAGCAAATTTATTGTTAATTTTGATTGGGAATCAGCATTCCTCATCATTCCCAAAGTTTTATTCCTATTCGTTTTTTTTTATCCATTCATAATGTTCCAATGATGGTTACCAATTACATTCTATTATCACTTTTCACTTTGACCAAAATGACATTTATTATTTCAGCCACCGCCACGACGAATATCACATCCGTAGTAACCTCTGCTATGAAAGATTACTACTTCTGAACGACCGTCGCTTTCTTCGTAACTATCACTACCGACACCACCACTGTAGTCGCCATCAACTTTGGTGCGATAATCACCACAGCAATATTGTTTCTCAATCTTTTGCTTCTTTTATTATTATTAACATCAACGGTGTAAAGTGAGAACAAAATCAAGAGAAAAATGAAAAATGCCACCTTTATTTTGGACGATCCTGTTTTTTTTTTTATTAGTACTGCTATATTCTTAAGGGCTATTGAGATGTTGGTTGCAGTGGACATTCTATAAATTAATATACCATAAACTAATCAATATTATAAATTAATAAATTTCATCGATTCTAAATTGGGCTAGTATAAAATTTGACATATTTAGATAAAATAATATGATAAAAATAATTTAATAACTTTATGTAAATATAAGGTTCCAATGTAATTTAAATTTAGTGTTCCTAACATTTATATAGATAAAATCAATATATTGCATAGTTTATTTTAATCCATAGTGAAATTTATCTTTATTACTTATTAATCTCTCTAAATAGACTAATGTTATTTTGATATTTTACATTTAAAATGCATCTATATTACAATAAACCCAAATAAACAAATAAAAACAGTATAAAATTTGTATCAACAAAATTTAAGCAATACATATATGTAAAATTAATTATGCTTCATATGTAACATACAACTCATTTTAAAATTTCTACAAATCTAAAAATAATTTATGTAAATTAATACTCTATAAATTAATAAAAATATCAAAACTCCAACATTATTAATTTATGAAGTTCTTACTAGTATTTAGAAAATTGTCCTTTAGTACCCTATATTTTAAACTTTAAGCCTTATAAAACACTATTCTCTAAACTCCAGCGACTTATATTGAAATCCTAACCCCACACTCTTTAAACCCCAACCATTAAAATCTAAACTCTAAATTCTAAACATTTAATCCTATAGATTTTTTAGTGCTATCATAAGATATTTTCTAGTTTTTTTTTAATTCTAAAAAGCTAACCTTACAAAAAGAAACCAAATATCCTGGGATTCATTAACTTGGTTTCACGTTATATTGGATCAAAAAGTGTCAAGTTCAATAATAAATAAACATAAGATAGACAAATAAAGTGATTCAGATGGTGAGTGAGATTTGAATAGTGATTAAAAGGTTCCCTCTCTAGCAGCTATAAATGTTTTCGTAGGCTGCACTAGTGGGAATGTGGGATTATCAATCAAATCATGTGAGTACTACTCTTTTGTTCAATATTTGGCAATAGTATAGTAGTCTTAACTAATATCAGACATAATTATGTCGGCGGGTTAAAAAAGAGACATAATTATGTCAATAACATAAGTGTTCATATCGTGAATTTCGTCATTTATACATTTAAAAAAAGAGAGACAGAATTATGTCAATAACATAGTGTTCATATCACACAACTACACAGTAACTATGTATCTTCCTTGCTGAAAAAAAGACCACACATTCTTCACGAATATTTCTGAGTTGCTTTATTATTATTAGCAAAGAACACATATCTATCCAAAGAGAAGAAAACAAACTTACCTTTTAGTTGCAACAATTTTGATATCTAAATGTTATCAATGATCAGTTTGAGCCTAAACGATTTAAACCAAGGCATCTTCAACATCAAAGTTTTACCCAAAAAAAAAATCATCAGTATTAAAGGCACACAACATCTTTATGATTACTGAAAAAGAATTTCACAATACATATTCAAATATAGATATCATAATCCAATCTGCACTACACACAACTTTGAAAAAGGGGTCAAACATATTCCACAATACACACTCTAATATTGAAATTGTACTTTGTACTTAATATTTCTGATTAAGAAATCAACGGTGATAGATGCACGACAGCCTTGCAAATCAACTTGATTTTATTTAAGTTTCTTTGGTGGCGCATGAGGTTGTTTAACGCCAAACATCCTCCATGGCCTCCTCTTAACTCGAGTAGCCATTAGCCAACTTACTATTTTCACTTTTTATTCTGTTCTTCTTATAATCATTAGGATTTGCAATAAAACCTGGAGAGATGCATCTTATTTAATCTATTAAATTAAGCGTTGCATTAAAAATTTGTGGTGTACAGAAAATAAGTGGGTCCATTCAAGCTACTTCCAAAAAGGCAGGAGACGATAAGAATAAAGTTTAGATTCAATTGCACACTTGAGCTTCACAACATATTAGATGTATTTGCAGTGTAATCAAAGAAGGTGCACGGTTGGTAACTGCAATGAAAATTTTCTTACGTACATCACATTTCGATGGGTAAGCGTGTTTTTTGTATTGCATTTGGAAGATGTTTACAAGATGACTTCATATACAATTTCTTTCTAACACACATCACATTTTAATGATTAAAGAGTGTTTATTGTACCGCATCAGCTGGAAGATAATTACAAGATGATTTCATATACAAGTTTGTTACGATGTAAATTTGTCCCATATATTCTGGTCTAATAAGGCAGAGGTCATAAAGCAAGCAAAAAGGCTAGAATGGAAGGTGCATAAGAGTAAGACGCAAATTTAGATCGGAATAAAAAGACACGATCAAAACATCACAGGACTCCGAACTAACGTTGATTCCAAAGTGAAATAAAACTTAATAAACCGTTTTAACTTATAATGGTTGACTCCACCGAACCAAATGCCAATAGATGCCAAATTAAGCAGAGTAACTTAAGAAGTTAAACTAGATTTTGACCCGCGCAACCGCGCGGGTGTTTGTTTTCGTTTATAGTTAGTTATATAAACATTTTGTTTTCACTTGTAAATTGGTATATATTATAGTAATCACATATTTACGATATGTATAGTAAATGTTTTTCAAACATAATAATATTATATAATACGTGTTTTAATCAAATAGATTGTTTCAAATTTTCTATATTATACATGTTTTTCAAACATGTGTTTGTTTCTTCTTCTATATTTTATTGTTTGTTAGATTAGTATTTCATTTTTAGATAAAGTAATATAAATAGAGCTTGATTAAATATTAGTATACTTTAATTTTGCAAAGATAATA